CACCGCCGCCGCCGGCCTCTGGCCAAAGTGGCCGGATCAGAAAGATTCTTACACCATTGGATAGATCTCCTCGAGGAGAATCTCCCCTTAAAATTTCGTTCGAAAATTCATCCGGGAAGTCCTTCAATTTGGCAGTCAAACATTCCAGATATAAGAACATTTTGGTCAACTATCAACCTTCAAACCAATTTTCCCGAGAATCCGGGAAGGCTACCGAAAATCCGAGGGTACCACTGGAATCCTCTCGACGAGGCGAATCTCCAGTTTCCGACCTTCGCCTGAAACCGCCGCCGTCCGCCGCCGCCTCCGCCACCGACCGCCGGTCAAAGTCATCTGATCCGAAAAACTCGTACGCCATCGCGAAGCTCTCCTCATGCTCGTTCTACCCTTAAAATTTGGAGCAAAAATTCCGTCGGGAAGTCCGTCGATTCACCGGTCAAAGCTTTGTGGATCTAGAAGTTTTCGGTCAACCACCGGTCTTTCTTCTTCGATTTCCCGTCGATTTCCATCGAACCACTTCGATTCGACGACACCACGGGAATCTTCTCGCCAAGGCGCATCCTCTGCTGGTGTTCTTCGCCGGAGCCGGGGATGTCTTCTGGCGACAGTCGCCCGATGAGTCGCCGCCACCTGCTCGCGGACCCTCCAAGTGCAGAAGACACTCCCAGTCCAGTTTCCCGTTGATGCTGCCCCACGCAGTCCAGCCCGTATCCAGTGTATGGCCCAGCGAGGAAGTGGCCCAACAGCTCGCCCGGTGTAGATCCACGTAGCCCAGTATGGAAGGCCCAATTGAGCGGGGCCCAAGAGAGGAAAAGCAAGAATCACGCGGGCCAGTGTCGGCCCGGTAAGCCCGAACTCCTCAAGTTTCAGCCCGCGCGGGCCCGCGCCCAGCCCTCGCGTGGCCCGCGCCCCAGACCAATTGCCTTGCTGCTATATGCTCGCGATAGCGAGTACCCACGGCCCAATGCCCGGTGCCCGGCCCAATCGCGGTTCTGAGTGGCCCGTTTGAGGTCTAGCCGCGGCCCAACGTCTTTTATGCGGTTCCATAGCTTATGTGAAGCCTATTTCTTGTCCAAACTCCCTCTAACTCGAATCTGGATGTTCCAACAATGGTTTAACAGCCCCTTTTCGAACCCAAGGCTACACCAAGAGGTATATTTGAGATTGCATTTTCATGGAGGTATGAAATTAATTTAAATTTTGAGCCGGAGGATTTAAATTGGTGAAAATGGGAGGTATTATTTGATTTAAATTGGAAAACTTGGCGTGCTCGAGATATTATTTGATTTGCTCGTGCGATTATTGGATATATATGTGGATGATTGTTTGACTTGCTCGGGCGATTTTGAGATTTATGTGTGGATTATTATTTGACTTATTCGAGGGGAATATTGGATCTTTGCATGGAGGATTATTTAATTTGCTCGTGTGGATATATTTAGTTTATTTGCGGAGATATCTGACTTATTTGAGGAAATACTTGTTTTATTCATGGAAATATTGGACTTGCTTGTGGAATTATTCGATTCGTTCGAGGAGGATTATTTGACTTGCCCGAGATATTATTTAATTTGCTCGTGGATATTATTTGATTTGGTTGAGAAGATTGAATTATTCATAGATATTATTCGATTTGTTCGTAGAAAATTATTTGATTTGCTCGAGCAATCATGGGATAAATTTGTGGATGATTATTTGATTTATTCGAGAAGGTGCTATTTGATTTATTTTTAGAGGTATTTGATTTATTTGAGGAGGTGCTATTTGATTTATTTTTGGATGTTTATTTGATTTTCTCGAGGAATACATTTGACTTATGCATGGAGGATTATCTGATTTGCTCAAGCGGCTGTCGGATTTATTTGATTATGACTATTTGAGGAATATATTTGACTTATGCGTGGAGGATTATTTGATTTGCTCGAATGATTGTCAGATTTGTTTGTGGATGATTATGTAATTTGCTCGAGCGATTATACGACTTATTCATGGACATATTTGAATTTCTGTCGAGGAAATGACGAAATAATCCAAGACTCGACAAGCTATGGCGGACGAGATGTTAAGTGTCGAGGACAAAATTAACGAGCATGGATCTATCTAAGGAGGGTGACAAGCAGGACGAGCCTGGATGATGTCGATCACCGATGGCGATTTCAAAAGGAACGGGTAAAAATCATTCTCTTTTGGAAAG